GTTGTCGTAGTAGTAGGAGGCAGGGAGTTGCCTAAACCAAGGCCCACGCTTCCCTGAGCTTTAATCCCAAAGGTTTCCAAGCGCCGAACTTTCTGGGAAATTCTCATGGAACACTCACCAACAATCTTTTTGAGAGCCCTGACAGTTAGAACCCTATAGACAGTTCATGTAAAGCACACTGACAAATTAAACCACCCCTCAAAACCCCAAAGTATCTACCATATTAGTACTTAGACCCTTTGGGAACCTTCTGCCCCTTTTTCTTTGAAGGCTGCGGCCCTGTCTGACTGGCAGCCTCGGGCATCCGAAGAGCAGGCGACGAAGGCGAAGATCGTGGAGGCGACACCGCGGATCTCTCGGGGTTTCTACGCTTTAGGGTTTAGGGTTTAGGGTTTCTTAAGTTCGCGCGAGACAAGAAGAGAGAGAGAGAGAGAGAGAGAGACAGATCGAGAGTGCTCATAGGGCCAGCGCGTGCCACGGGGGTAGGCCTTCGGGCCAGGGGTGCATGCATCCCAGACCCCTACCAAGCAAGCAAGCAAGTGCTCAGAGGGATTCGGGATCTAGGGCTCAGATTTTGGAGCACACGTTCTGGGCAGAGGGATCTCACGGGCGACAAGGCTTGTATGAACCATAAAGCTTGAAATGAGGCGTTAAGGGTTTCAGGTTTGAGATATCGGATTCCGGGTACGTCTGTAAGGGCTGTCGAAAGGCTCTGCGAGGGTTCTTTTAAGGATCTTGGGTTTGAGGTTTTTGGGTTTTGTTGGGATTCAGAGCTTAGGATTTAGGACTCAGGAGTTTAGGATTTAGAGGAGTTTAGGATTTAGAGGTTTCAGGCTCAGGCAAAAAAAGACGCAAAACCAGATTCTGGTCTTTTTAATTCAGGCCCCAAGTAATTCTAAACTGCACCCAAACCCGTAGCGGTAGCCGGTAGCAAAGCAAGAATCTCAGGACCTCTATAAATCGGTAAGCCGGGACATCCTCCAGCCCGTGTTTCAGTGCTCTAAGTCCATGGAACCCCAAACCCCACAAGGCGAAACCATTCCAAGACCGTTGCCCGTGAAAGTTCGTGACTTCCAGGAAGTCGCGCAGCTCATGAGCCAACTGGAGAGTGCGGCACCTTGTTTGCAGTTTAGGGTTTAGGGGTTTAGGGTTTAGGGTTTGGGGCTTCTTTGCGCTTTGGCCTTGGGACAGGGCTTGGGTTTTACATTCGTGTTCCTTCAAGTGATGTCAGGACCCGGTTAAGAAACTGCTGCCGCTCATTCTGAGGGCCCTTAAGATGGATCGTATTCTCCCGGGTGCCAACAACACTTTATTTTGGTTCTTACACCGCCTAACACACTTCTTGCATCCGGAAGGTTAGTACAAGAAACCCATGGAAGGTGACAGGACCTTTTCTGTAATCAGTCCAATATTAAAGCTAGTGAAGCCTGTTGGCTCCCATCTAAGACCTGCTAGGAGTCGCCGGCCCGTATTCATGGACGGGTTTGCAATTTGGGCCTGCCCAAGTTGTGCCCAACATGCACCCCTCAACCCTAAACCGTAAACCTTTTGTCTAAAGCTTGCGTCGTTCCTTCTTGATTTCCCAAGCCGTGGAGAAGCTGAGATTTCAGCTGCGACCTTTCAAACTCGGGAGAGTTGCAGAATGCAGTATAGGGTTTAGGGTTTATACTCGTTCTCAAAACGGGTTTAAGTTACAGGCAAGGAAGACCACTTTGCTTTGTGCGTAGCTGGGGTTGCGGGCCCCCGGAAGATGGTATGCAGTATGGCATCGGTGGAAGAGGCCCCGTCCACCTGAGGCAGTTTATTGGATTCATGTAAGCTGACTTCTGCAGCTACCCGGGAACCGTTCAATTGGACTTGACTCATTTCAGGTGCTGGATGTGCTCCTGGAAGACAGCTCAGAGGCCCGTATCAGATTCCGGAGCTCTTGAGTACACCATAACTATTGCGCAATCATCACCACTCACGTTTGTTCATGCGCCTTTCTTCGCGCTCGGCTATCACGTTGCACCTGGTGCTGGCACGTGCTGTGGAGGTCAAAGTCTAAAGATCCCTTCGATGCCGGAACGGCGAATCCGCAAGTCTGCGAATCCTCAACCCCAAAAGCAACCTAGAGCGCTCGTTAAAGATCATGACATCCGTTAACCGAGGCATCAATGTGGGATCCTCGATGGCTATGTTGTTTCTTCTTTCATCATCTTGATAAACGTCTTCAAGAATGCTTTCTTGCCGCTGGTAGACAAGCTCCTGCACAGAATGTTTCGGCTCGATTTGACAACGAGCCGCTCTGATTACAGTATTCCGAAGCCTCGAAGCAAAGCGAAATCGAACTTCAAATGTGAAGCTTGAATCTTTTACCCTTGCTCGCCTTGCTCGCCTTCTATCATACTTAGCAGCCCTTTTCTTCTTCGACTCACCGCTGTACTGCACGCCGCTTTCCCCATTCAAAATGTCCAGTAATGTCTTTAAGGGAGCCAGAGCCCAAAGAAATCCTGTGCTCACCCGATCCCACTCAAATTTCAGAGTCAGGAAGGCCGTGGTTTCGGGACATGAGATTTATCACACAAACGTCGGTTGTAGGGTGTAGACTTCAAGCTTGCCGACTCTCTAGATGTGGCACTTACCCCAAAGCTTAAACTCTAAACCCAAGCCAAAACTCTAAACTCCGTGGCCATGTTGGGTCAAGGGGGAGCTGTGGCAGACACCGGATTAGGGATTTCGACAGACTTGGCACACCGGATTAGGGATTTCGACAGACTTGGTTTTGAAAGCTCCAACATGCAGTATCTTTTCTGATTTCTCAACAGGTCGTTGCCATATTGTTCTTTCTTGCGTTCGTGGGACGACGATGCGAGCAGAGATGCGTGGGGCCATGCTGCAATTTCTCCCGCGATCTTCCTCGAAACAGGGAGCCGCAAAGCCCTCCTCGTCGTCCATGTCCTCATCTAGCAGCGGTTTGGGAGGTATGTTGGCAAGGGTTCGCACTCCTACGCCCTCTCCAACTGTTCGAGCTCGTTCGGAAAAGCAGGCCGTGACCGCAGCTCCGGCGCATGCTTTGCCAACAAGATCCCCCGATCAGCATTTGGCGAACCTGCGTGTCTTCCTGGCCGACGTCTCCTCCAAGCCTCAGGAGCTTGAAGACAAAGTTGCGAAGCGCAGACGAGACATGGAGAAGAAGCTGGAGATCCTAAGCCTAAGCCTGATGTCGCCAAGCCCATGTCTGAAATGCATGGATGAGAGCCTTTCGACAGCTCCAGAAGAAGCATGTGGCGTTTTGAAGCCTCGGGAAGAAGCATATGACATTTCGAAGTCGACAGAAGAACCATGCCGTATTCTCAAGTGCGAGTCTTTCGCCGTGCGCTTGTAGCAAGATTGTGCTTCATCAGCTGGACTTTCAATGCAGAATCTGTGTTGCTGGACGCAACTGGAACAAGATGCCCAACTGACGCGGCGGTGTTTATGGCTTTCAGTAGGTCGATGCAGCAGCAATTAGAGCAAACCCTAAACACAACACCCCAAGTTGAAACTGTTCATCATCAAGGATTGCCGTCAGAATCTTCCTTCCTGTATGCATACGTGCCGGAAGGCGGAACAGATGCTGCAATGAGAACAAAAGCCCCTTTTTTGCAACACCAGTGAATGATACCTATAGTCTCCACTGTAGTTCCTTTTTTTGGTTTAACCAAATATATATTAACGAGTTTATAAGGTATCCCCCCAAAAGGAACTACAATGGAGACTATAGGTAGTTTTAAATGTTTTCAGGAGAAGTCCCAGGTGACCAGCAACCCGACTTTGAGGGTGTAGGAGAGGCATCCTCCTCCAGCAATGAGTCTTGTAGTATACCCATAGGCCCCATAGTAGTTCCTTTTTGGGGGTTCATATATAGAATCCTATAAGGTAATCCCAAAAAGGAACTATACTATGGGGCCTGTAGGTAATCTGCAGTGCTGAATTACATCTTGCCCTGCGCACCTCGAACCCTCAGCGTGGCACCTTGGCGTAATCTTTACATTCACTTTCGCGCACTGGGGAGCCGGGAGCCGCGGAGATCCCCCATTACTTTAGGCGCCTCAACAATTAGAAAAGCTTTAGGACTTTAGGGTAGTAGGGGTGGTTTAAGTAGCTTTCGGGGCAGACTAGACTAACGCGACCTGCAGTTGATCGCCTTACCGGCTGCAGCCTGAACGGGTGGTGCGCGAGTTGAGACCGACACTTGCAAATCTGCCCGGCATCTACAGATTCAGATGGACCGAGATGAGGGGCCTTCAGACTTTCACGTGGCACGAGTAAATCCGCTCATAATCCAATACACGGCCCGGATCTGTAGCGTGGAGCCTGCTGGGCAGCAGATTTTCCCCAAATTCCATGGCCTTGAGCGCTTGGGAGTCAGATCTTGGGGGTTTGACCTTGCGTACCACGCACCCTGAACTTCAAGCATTATTCTAAAATTAAAAGTAATCTAGAGCAAAGAGTCTATTCCAAGCTGTCACTCATGGCCATGTGAGACGCTGGAACTAATTTCCGAAATTTTCAGCTATGCCCAGAAACTCGAAACCCCTCAGGGGGTTTAGGGGCAATGGGAGAATGCACCATGAGAAGGATCCCTTTCTTAAGGTTGAAGCAAACTGGTCAGTTATTGCGGGGGAAAGCGCCGCCGGATGTTTCTGTTGAAAATGTTTGGAACCCAAAGGGCCTAAGTACTAACATGGCAGATACTTTGGGGTCCAAAATATCTACTATATGGGTAGGGTTTAGGGTTTAGGGTTTAGGGTTTACTTAGACCCTTTGGGGAAGGTCAAAGCCAAATTAGCAAACCGGGCTTTCGTAGAGGTGGGGGTGACTTCTCAGCGTGCCTCAGCCCGAAGCCTCAGAACTCCTGTCTGCTGCTTTGAGACATTTTTCAGGTAGAGTCAGTTGTGCAGGGACTCCAAAACCCCTTGAACAAATATATATATATATATATAGATAAGTACAGAGGAGCCCGAAATATTAAAACTCTTGAAGCATATTCCATGGTTGCGGGTGTTTGGAGTCTGCTGGGTGGGAGCAGACAGCCGAGAAAAGCCGCGAGACAGGGCCGTTTAGGGGTGTAGGGTTTGGGGAGACACGAAACCCTAAACCCATCCGAAGCCCTAAAGCGTCCCCTGTTTTCGGCAGCTCGACTTCACTCTCGATCTGGCCCTTCACCCACTTAGGCCAACCTTCTTTCGATCAGCTTCTGCGTGGACAAAAAGGAGGAAGGCGAGCGATCTGAGACCTAAACCCTAAACCCTAAACCCCTAAACCCCTAAACCCTACACAATAAACCCTAAAGCCCTAAACCCTAAACCCCAAAACCCTAAACTGTCGCTGACACCGAGCCCATGTGCTATAGTCCTGAGGCCCCGAACCATCCTCACCTGCAGCGTCCAAGAGCCCACACCCCAGACCCTATCCCCTAACCCAAAACCCCCAATACCCTAAACGCTAAACCCCTAACCCAAAACCCCCAATACCCTAAACGCTAAACCCCCTAACCCAAAACCCCCAATACCCTAAACTGTTATTGCCTCGCCTGGATTGTCCGAGTGTGAGCGCCGAAACTGTTATTCAGGGTTCAAGCACCTTCAGGCAATTATCCGGCTGAAGAGACGTCGACAAGTCACAGAGCTGCAGCGTGCCGAGCCACAGATTGCTTTATATGGGGTTTCCGAAAATTAGGGG